TGCAAAATGAGAAGTGCACTCTTGTTTCTCAATAAAAATTTCTGCGTGACTGTGGAAAATGTGATTGTGATTCGCATAATGTACCATAAATACTCGTATTGTACACGTATGTAGGTATTTTTCATGTTTAATACATTTATTTTTTACAAAATTTTCAATAATACACACAAAATTTACGTATTATATACATAATACTCACATATTATTGAATAAAAATTAAAATATTTAAAATATTTAAATACAAATTATTCACTAAGTAAATAATAATTAGAACGTAACTACTAATTAATGTAATTAAAAAAGAGAAATTCAGATTATGCTGTTTACATAATATAGCCGTGCGGCTTTAGTGTTGAAATATTCTATTTATAGCGTATAGCCACCCGGCTATACTATTTTTGCAAAAACACACTCTTTGCGCTTGGCGGGTGATTCTATTTTTTAATATAAATAGTATAGCCGCCCGGCTATACGCTTTGCACAAATACTGCTATTTTTATTCCCTTTTGAGTTTTTTACTTTTCAGAGTTATTACTTGTGTAAATAATTTAGCATTTTCATGTTTAATACTCATATTATACATGTATGGACGTATTTTTCATATTTAATACACTTGTTTTTTTAGAAAATTTTCAATATTACATACAAAATTTATGTATTATATACGGTATAGTCGCACGGCTATACGCTTTTTAAAAACACAAGATAAGCGCTGCAGGTCTTTCTTTTTTTTCTTTTTTTTTAACTAGTATAGCCGCTATACTCGTTACAAAGTTACTGTGATTTTTTTTTTTAAATAATTGTTTTTCCCATATTTTTGTTTATCACTAAGAGTAGTATATAGTGGCTATACGTTTAAAAAACTTCTATTTATAGATTATAGCCGGGCGGCTATAGTGTTGGAATATTCTATTTATAAAGTATAGCCGCGCGGCTATACGCTTTCTACAAAAACATCCACCCAATGCTGGGCGGGTCGTTATTTATTTTTTTTGTAAATAGTATCGCAGTGCTCCAGATTTTTTTTAATAAAACTGAGTATAGCCGTGGAGCTATATGCTTTTCACAAAAACACATGTTAAGTGCTTTGCGGATCCTTTTTTTTCATAGGGTTATTTACTATAGACATCCCTGAACTTGGCCCTCATTTGCAATTGGGTCCGTAAACCTTTTTTTTTTTTTTTAGGCAATTACATCCTTTAACTGGACAAATAGTTGCAATCAGGTCCTACCATCCAACTCTGTCAATTTCTCCGTCAAAATTAGGGGTAAAAGCGTCCTTTCGAGTCTGAAGAAAAAAACTTAATAAATAAAATAAATAAATAAACTTTAAAATAAAAATAAAAATCCCTCTCTCTTTCACTCTGTCTCTCCCTCTCTCTCAACCCATTCCCCCCTCAAAACCCAGATCCCAACCCCCACCTCCTAAACCCATCTCAATCTTCATCTATAAAGTCCATAAAATCAATCACCCAACAAATATCAAACTTGAAATTTTAATACCCACATCAAATCTCTGCCCCAAATAGTTGAAACTTTATACTTTCAACCAATCAAATACACCCAGCATGGCTACAATTTCAAATCTCAAATAAACATAATTTCAAGCCGAGTGTTGCTATTTCCACCCACCTTATTTTCAACATTTTAAAGACAAATTTACATATTTGTAAAATGACTTCTAAGGACAAAAACCTCAACCCATGACAAACTTTCTCTATTGACGACCATGGAGGGATATACCCAGATGTAGTGCCGACTCCCAATGCAACAACACCAACGCCTACTGCGCAGGTGACAGTGATCCTTAGAAAGGCTTGAAACATCTTTCTGTCACTCAATAGGTGCCTGCCCAATCCAATCTAAGAAGTAAAATACCTACCAACACCCCTACACACCACCAAAGAAAAATGAATAAAGAAGTAAATGAATGGGTAAGTTAATTCACACCATATACACTGAACAGAAGAGGAAGCATACAATACAATTCGTATAATTGATAACAATAAATTGAATGTGCATGAAAAGCAAACCTGCATAAAGAAGAAGAGGCTCATCGCAACCATATGCTTGCCAGACTGCACATGCTGAAATTCGACAGAGCGAAGTTGCAGAGCGAGCAACATTCTGAAAATATAAATGCAATTGTAGGCGACATACAACCTCATGGAATAGCGTCCGGTGATCAAAAGCACCAAAACTTAAAGCAAAATCAAGCTAATTATAAAGACAACCTCCCCAACCAGAGACCATTCCAGCATGGGTTATGGGTTAATAATCTGATTTGATCGCTTGCTTTTGCAGTTTTTTTTTTGGGTCTCTCTCGGAGATCTTAAAGTATTTAATTGATTCTTGTTAAACCCACAAGTGACCCATGTCGTTGGCAGGAGGAGGATGGGGGTGATGGGTCGTTGATGGGGGAAGTTTGTGTTGGGTTTGGGTTGGGTTGTTTATTTTTTATTTTTTTTTATAAAGTTTCAAGTTTTTTTGCTTGAATTAATAATTAAAGAGCATTTTAGGAATAATGGTGGGTGAAAAGATAGGATTGTATTTTTTCAAATCTATATAGTGAGTGAGAAAATAAGGTGGGTGGGAAAATAGAACAAGTGGTTGGCAATAGCAGTACTCTTTCAAGCCACAAAGAAAACCCATAAACAAAATAAATCCAGAAAACACAAGGGTCAAGCATGCAAAATGGGATCATGAGGAATTGATTGGATAAGGCAGCAAAGCGAGAAGAGTCCTTCTTTGGTACTAGAATCATTCCTGAGAAAGTGAGAGTTTCAACTGAGGGACAGACTTCTTTTTTTCTGGAAAACAAACAGCCATCGAAGAAGAAGAAAGATACGATTCAATTCGATTCGCTCAGGCGTCAAGCTCTCTCTTTGATTGATTGATTTCTCATTACACTTGTACATATAATGATCTTGCAATTTCTGTTGCTGTTGTTGTTGGTCTTCCTCGGTGTTCCTCCGTGTTTTAAGGGGGGTGGGATAAGGAGGGGGGAATGGGTTGCGAGAGAGAGGGAGAGATAGAGCGAGAGGGATTTTGAATTTGATTTTTTATTTTAAAGTTTATTTTTTATTTTCAGATTTTTTCTTCGAACTCGAAAGGATGCTTTTACCCCTCATGTTCACGGACAAATTGACAGATTTGGATGGCAGGACCTAATTGCAACTGTTTGTCCAGTTAAAGGATGTAATTGCCACACAAAAAAGTTCACAGACCAAATTGCAAATGGGGGCCAAATTCAGGGACGTCTACAATAAATAACCCTTTTTCATATATAGCAGTTCCATTTGTTTTTTTTTCGACTTCAACGATAAGCTGCTTTGGTCAAAGCAACAGCTGGAGCCAAGGCAGCAATACTGCATCGCGCCCTTTTCTAACGGTCTGGTAACTGCCACTATGACCCGACGCATTTATATATATACGCAGGCCATCAAACAAACACTTCATAGGCAAAAAAGAAAAGGAAAAAAAAAAAAGTTTGTGTTGTTCAGAGAGAGAGCGAAAGAGAAATTGAAGGATGAGGAAGAGAGCAGCGTTGTTGCTGGTGCTATGGCTGGCTATGTCGGTGGGGACTTGGGGTGAGGATCAGAACGCCGAAAACAATGATTCATGGACTGGCTGGGCCCGTGACAAGCTCACAGAGTAATTTCTTCATCTTTTCTTTTTCTTATTTACTTTCAAGTTTCTTCCTTTTTTGTGTGTGCATATAATGAAATTGAACCATCCCCTCCTTTGATTTCCGTTCTAAATTAAACAACCATGCATTTTCATGCACGGGAAAAATTTTAACAATCAAGCTACTGGGTCTGGTACATTGTCAATATTTTTGTTAGTTGCCAATTCTGTGCTGATGTAATAACAATTGACATGGACCGAATATCAACAACGTACCAGCTACGGTAGATTGGTACACGTACCAACCAAACCAATCACTTTTTGGGGTCCTGAACTGCAAAGTTGGGTCATCCGACCACCATTGTCTCTTGTTGGGGTCCTGAACTCTGATGGTTTGCCCTGCCCCCCAGTTGGGTCATCTCTCTTGAACTAGATTTCTTTTCTGTTTTTTGGTTGGGCTTGAGACAGTTTACTAAACTCCGACGGAGCTTTAGATTTGTCTAACCCTTATTGTATTTTGCTTCTGTTCTGTGTTCTTGCTGGTTCGGCCAGCTGTGTTGTATTTGCTTCCCGTTTTGGGCTTTTTTAATACAACAATCTCTTTCAGACCAAAAAAAAAAAAAAAAAAAACCAATCACTTTTAACCAATTTATGTTTCCTTTCCAATATACTCTGAGTAAATTTAGGTTTTAGCCACACAAAAATTTTCACTTTCGGAAAAAGCCAAACTTTTTTCGAAAAAGACTAAAAAACCTCTCAACTTCAAACCAAAGACATGCAAACGTAAAGGATTCCTTAAAAAATCCAAAAATAAATAAGGGTAATTTTGTCAATTTTGACTTCTTTTAAAAATTTTCTCTCACCTTTGGTCTTTTCCAAAGTTTCTTGGATTTTATAGTTGATGAAAATAATGGTTGTTTTACTTTGTCTTGTGAATGCTTATTGATCATTAACGTTGTGTTGTGTTCTTTAGGGGAGTTGGACTCAAAGGTGGGGAAGCAGGCTCTAAGTCCGCTGAAAGAGCGAACAAAGCAGCCTTCGTTCAAAAGTTTTTAGAAGGAGCTATATACTCTCTTGAAAAACATCAAACAGCCAAAGCTGAAGAGCTGATGAAAGGAGCTATGGAGTATCTTTATCATGATAACACCATAAAAGATAAAGCAGCCAAACTTGAGGAGTTCATGAAAGAAGCTATCAAGTATCTTGAGCAAGATATGGTAGAAAAAGCAGAAAACGTGGTGAAAGGCGCTGTGATGTATCTTAAAGGCGATGACGAAGACAACGATGAAGGGAAGGGGAAAAGAGCGAAATATCTTGAAAAGGATGAAAAGGAGAAAGTAGCAGCAGGAGTAAATAAAGCAACCCTTGTTGATTCGTTTCTGGAAGGAGCTTTAGCCTATCTTGAACAACACCAAGGGGCGAAAGCTATAGATATTATGCAGGGAATTGTACTGTATGTTGCTCAATCTGACGAAATAAAAGATAAAGCAGCCGCTGCTGAAGAGATGATCCAAGGAGCTTTGACGTATCTTCAAGAGGACAAACTAGAGAAAGGTACGGAGATGATCCGTGAAGCTGCGAAGTATCTTGAAAACGACGAGGATTACAAAGCAGCAATTGGCAAGGGGAAAGGAGCGAAGTATCTTGAAAAAGGTAATGCAGAAAAAGGAATATTGAAAGCACATTTTGTTGAAGAGGTTCTAAAGGGAGCTATGTCCTATCTTCAAGCAAATCATTTGGTCAAAGCTAAAGATGTAATTCAAGGAGTGCAACAGTTTATTGCTCAGGATAATACATTAAAAGATAAACGTGCCACAGCTGAACAATTGCTCAATGGAGCTTTTGGCTATCTTGAACAAGAGAAATCAGGGAAAGCGCAAAAAATAATCCAGGAAGCTATAGAGTATCTTCAAAACGACGAGGATGTCAAAGAAGCAAATAAAGTCTTTAAAGAAGCAGAAGCTAA